CAAATAAATATGTGCCACATTGTTTTTGAAAATATATGTTGTTTGTTATGTGGATGTAAATATGCTTTGGTCAATCTCTATTATTATGTAAATGATATGCAAATGATATGCAAATTAGTCCGCCACAGTGGTTTAAATTCCTGGGGAGAACACTGTGATTTGTTGTCATTCTAAGCACAATTCAACACATAAATAATAAGGTTTTACCTGTTTCCAAGATTTTGCATTCCAGTGTAACCTGCTCCGAATAAAGGAACCAACTTTTTACCAGCTTCTTGTATTGTGTCCCACTCAGCTTTCAATTGCGAATTTAAATCAATTTCTAACTCTGTCATTGTTTTATCAGTCTACAATAAAACACATTGGCTGTACAATTATATTTTCTATTATCAATGTCAAATAATTATCACAACAAAATTGGAATATTATGAATTATTATACATCTGTCACCGTAATGCCAAAGGTTACAGTGTGCTGTAATTTTTCGGTATTTTACAGGGTATTTTCATCCTACCATATTAGGAAATGCGAATTCCAAATATGGAATGATTATGTGCGTAAGTGTCCTCTAATAATAAAAACAAACATGGCTGCCTTCAGGGTTTGACCGGACTCAACACAAAGAAGTTTGCTGATTCTGTTCTAAACATTTTGGATTTCGGCATTCCCTTGATGTATCCTTGGAAGGAAAAGATGTATAATAATAAGGTTATTACAAGAATACCTCTCAAAGTATGCACTCAGACAGTATGCCACGCATCGACCTCCAGCTATACTGTCTTCGTGCATACTTTGAGATATCCTCGTAATAACCTTATATTATTACATAACTTTCTGATCTGATCAAAAATAAATATGTACATTTATTGAGTATTTAGTAAGGTGCCTCAGGGCAGTAGTTAAGGAACTCAAGAATAGTGCAAATTACATGGGCGATATGTCAGTGTAATTTGATACAAACCATACATGTCGAAATATGTAATTCAAAAGGATTAACCAAGATAGTCAAAATACTGAAACTTGAAAACACCACAGACAAGAAGTTGTTAATATTAATATATGTATGAGGTATAAACTTTGTCCGAAAATGTCTGACTTATAAATCATTTAATTTACCTTTTCCATTGCAATCATATTGATACCAAAATGTGCCAAATGTTTAGCCAAGTGAGGGTCTTCTACCATATCTTCCTCATCATATGAATATATATCTAATAATTACAAAAGAAACAAGCCATTTATCGCAGTCCTCGTTAGTTATCAAATTTAAGATGTATAGTTTTGTTCATTGCAATATAGTTGGAACAAAAACATGTCAGAGATATGGATCCAGAAGCTGATACTTGATTATTACATTTTTTTAACATTAAAATGACTGACATTCAGTCATCTTGTATCTGATTGTCAATTGAGTACTTGTCCATATTGAAAGATTTTGCTCTGGAACAGCATCAATTAAAACAGAATGGCCACGGGTCAGCCATTTTGAATCGGGTCATCATACCAATACATCTGTATATCTGTGACATGATGTATAATGAATATATAAAATTTGAACATAATCAATTTCTCTTTTTGAAATATGTCATGCTGTTTAGTTTGCATTTCCTTAGAAACGATTCAAGCAAATCTTACAGTATCAAGAGCAGCGAAGCAAGTGTAGCACTCATTTGGCTTTAGCGTCATCAACAGCGAAACCAATGTTGTAATATTGTAGCAACCCGTACCTGGGAGAGTGGTTGAAAATACGTTGTTTTGGCTTTATAAAATATTTAGTAACAGCTTGCGAATCCATAATTGGGGCAAGCAATTTTGCAATGTCACGTCAATGACTTGATCTCTATCATGAAACACTAGTGGTGATGTCATTCTTAGCCAATCAGTAAAGCAGATGCTTAAAGGTCAAAGATGATAGAGAAGAGTTGTTTGCACATGACCCTATTTTACTTGTCTCTTTATTGTGATTAGACATGCCACAGACAGCGAAATCCGTGAAATAAACGTGCAAACAGTATGCGATGACATCGACCAACTTCAAGACAAAGCTGTAGGGACAGTGACGCCAACTTGGACTTTGCGGGTTTGACTTTGACAAAGATGGCAATGAACTTGTAAATAGAGATCTGAGAAGTTTTTTTCAAACAACTATGAACTTTCGTAATTTTTACTGTGTAAATTTGTGTAAATTATTGTTCGTGTATGACTGTTGATCCGATATTTATCAAAACTGGAAATAATTTTACGCAGTTTAACCCCTGACACGCGTATTGGGCGTGTTTGCGGCGGAAAATCCTAATTCAAATGATTACTCACTGTCGATTTTTATTATTTCTGGTTTATTTGTCACATTATAAGCAATAAATTATTTTTGTTATACTTCTAATGTTGCATACATTTTGTATTGTTCATTTATTTCAGTTGCATGTTTTCATTTGCCATTCTATTCCCTGCCGCAGTTTGATCTGCGTGTTGTCAATTTCCGCCAATTTTCTTTTTTTTGCAGGGGACGTCCGGGCAAAGGCTTTTTTGACAATTTTCCATGTTCAAGACTGTGGGCGCTTACCCGAACAACTACGATAAATCAGATTTTTTGAGATATTAGAAATGGGCTAATAATAATTGTAATTGTTTATATCCAGTTTTATTAATCCTTAAATGAACAATTCAACTTACCGGCACCCCTTGGAGTAATAGTTCCAAGTTTGACTGCTAGCGGATATTTGGTTACCTCATACTGATCTAACGCATGGTTATTACCACCGGTACCATCATAATAGCGACGTCCACATAAAACACTGCCATCTGTCAGATTCAACCACAAATTTTCCGTCTTGTCACACATTTCACACTTCCAACCTTTAGGAGGAACCTTCTTCCCATTATCAAGTTGTTGTAAGTTGTCTGCATACCTTAAATCAATAAGAAATTATTTATAGGCAAGATGTTGAAATTAATCACTAAGTTTACTGTCGGATGTAAATCACTGCTTGATGAACCATCAAGGCATATCTCACAGTACTCCATACAGTGAGTGCAGTTATTGACTGCCTCAAATCAACCATGTATATTTTTTGTCAATCAAAGGTAGGTGAAGGTAACTGTGTGAAGAAGAAATGCTATTTCATGCATCCATGAAATTCAAGCCCTTTTTACAAACCCCTTCCTTTGCTGTATGTGATATATTTTAATTATAATTCAGAGACACAGACACAAATATTGAGATGATGCCTACTATTTGAACTATCATTTTCATAATAATAGCTCCAGCTTAATTAAAGTCATAAACAGTAGTGATGTATTCAATCCTATCTCATGAGTTCCAAAACATCAAATTTGTATCAAATTTAAAAGATGCATGGTGATTATCATCATTTAAAATCGATTCATAAGGAGACAGTGGACTTACTTAGAAATGATTCTTGTCTCTCCATCCCATGCTTCGATCTCCTCATTTTTAGATGCTGATTGAGCTGATAAAATCCCAGCGATGCAACTCTGTACCTGTATGAAAGAAAAACTTGTACTATCAATCCAACTATATTTTCCTTTTATTAACTCACCTGGAATCTTTCCAAGAATTTGGAACAGCAGCGAAAGAGTAAATAAATCTTTATGGCATTTCAAAGAAAATTCAACAAATATTTTGAACTTTGTGAATAAACAAACACCAATTTTAAATTGTAATTTTAGGACCCTAATTTGTGTAATACTGTAATACATGTTGGAATAAGTACATGCAATTTTAGCAAATTTGACTCTATGTATAAATTGACATAATTTAGCTAAAATGCCAACAATCTAATTGTGGAAATATACTTTATTATTAATTAGTCACATCTTGACTTACCAAAGTTACAGATTACCTAAATTAGCTAAAAAATCATATTTTACAGTAGTTATACTGATATTGCTAGTAATGTCCAATAAAATTATACCAAAATAGGAGGGGGGGGGGGGCACTTACTTTTTCAGGCAGTGCTGCATTTGGTAATGGGATAGAGGCAAAATCTGGAAGAATAACAACAGAGTTCTGTTCTTCATATTCAAATTCTTCTTCATCTTCTACATCAAACCCACCTTCGACCCCTGATAAAATAAAATAATATTGAACTCTTTCAGTGCATTACTAACATCCAGGAAACACACTGATAGCTCTGGATCTACTGTGGGATGCAGTAACCACAACAAAGATGAATCCAATCCAATCCAATCCAATTGGTGCATATTCAGATATCTCAAACAATAGTCCCAAAAGTGTGATGCAGCATGGACTAAGAGGTCAAAAACGTTAGCCCATGCTAAAAAACATGCACAAACTATTAGTACAGGCCACAGTCCCTCAACACCCGGTTGGAAAACGCCTTTGTTCTAAGGTGTTAATCCCCCGATCGCCGGTAACAGCGTGCGTTATGCTTGTGGAGTTAAACGATGACGTCATATCATCTGTGGATCTTCCTAGATTTAAATTGCCTTCCGTTCTGCGCCTGTGAATCTTTGCCATTTTATACAGCTTATTTCAAAATTATTCCGAGTTGCGTGTGTATTTGTGTTCGTAAAAGCTTCCTGACAAGTCATGTGTAATTTAAAAGATATATTCATTTAATTGACATAAAAAAAATCAATATATTAATTTTAGACCATCACAGCCAGCACTGTTCTTTGCAGGGTGAAGTGTTATGGTGACGCTGTACAAAAAGTTTTCACCTTGTGAAAATGCGTTCCCATATCTAAACTGATCACAGTCATCATATTTTTGTAGTTTAATATTTAAATTGTTCCCCAATATATATCATTTTGTGTAGAAGCAGCATTAAAGGGTTCATTTCATTTGATTATTTTACCGTTAGTTTTGCCCCCCATGGATACTTGTATTCACCCATGAAGTATCGCTAGAAGAAAACGACTGTTCAAAGTTTTTCTTTTAATATTGATGACTAAAATTTTAAAGAACCGTTGATTTATATCTTAGAAATAACTGAATCCTTTTGGTGTGGTCGGATTCCGATATTCTCGTCAAAAAATCACTGTGAATTTAGAGCATACAAAATTTGTTCATGTTATATCAAGATGGCGATTCGAACGACCATAGTTGATGTTATAGTGAGAGTATCTGATCTTAACAAACCTCACAAACATACGCCCTATTAATATTAAGGTGGAAGTTCAAAAAAGTGTCCAATGCTGTTTTAATGGTCGTTCTGTTAATTTTTTATTTGTTTTTTTCCATCAATTTTCCATCATGTTTTAACACATAAACTACTTTCGATAGGCTTTTTGCGGTCCTGACAGAATGGATGGTTACGTCAAAGTCTCTGTTGCCATCGCCTTCTTTCATGCATTCAGCAGCAACGTACTCTGGTTCCTCTATTAATATATTGTTCCAATCGATATCACTGTTATTGAAATCGACAAAATCCTCATAGTTTTCCCCACATTTCCGTAAATAATGTACTGTCTCTCACGTTGTAGCAAAAATCAAAACAAAGTGTATACGCATGCGCAGATGTGAATCAAGAAGGCTCCTGTATGCTAATTTTATGTTAATAGCAAAGTAGACTTGCCTTCACATGGATTAACGAATAAACAATTTGATGAACGTAAACATGCATTGAGACAAAAGAAGTATTACGTTTCCCAACCGGGTGTTGAAGGACTGTGTATGGGCTAAGAAAGGTTAAGTACAGGTTAAATCTGATCTATTTTTAAGACCAAGTCTAAAACTACAGCACAGGCAGACAAAATTTGCATGAACACTTAGCCTGTGCTAACCGCTGTTTCCTCTCGCACATGAATGCAATAAGGGTCTAACATCCTAGCCCATACTTGGTATAGTCGAACCCAACTACTGGGGTATTGTCTAGTTTCAGTAAAGTTGGTCAAAATTATGTGCATAACCAACTGTCATATTTGCTATAATAGAAGTGCATACACTTATGTAAATACCATGTTGAGTACGCCAAGACTTTTTGATCATTTTTTGTGTGTTTTATCTCTAAAATACAAAAAACCTTGGCCTTGTATGCACTTCTATTGGAGATGTTGATTTGCAAACAGTGTCTTGTTTATTTTTAATGAAATAAAATATCATGGTAGTGTGTAAATGGTGAAAACTGGTTACCGCCAAAGTCTGGTTACTGCAAAATAAACAAGGGACCTTTGTAGATGCCGGTCTGGGTTCAGTGCATGCAATGTTTGACAGGGTCATTAATAGCCACCAATCAGCGTTAAGGTCAAATTGGAGTTAGATTTGGCTTGATAGTTTATTAGAAACCATGCCAAACTGAAATTTTGCAAACTAGCATTTTCACATTTTACATGTATGTTGGGATTACAAGACTACATGTACTTGGATACTGGGCTTTACCAAGAGTATGTTGATGCGTACAATAGTCGCGCTGTTTGTGTGAACGTTTTGTGAGTGATCGAATCACAGACTGGCAACTAAATTTCTTGACAGGCAAGCATCTTCTGACCAGCTTGGCCAGTCTATGGTTATCGAATTTTTCCATCTTTGACCCATATAACAATGCAAAAGCATTCCTGATTTCTTGGTGATACAACAGTTGTGAAGCTTGTTTTTTGCTGGCATACAAGCGATCACATGCTCACTATTCATGGCCATCTTGAAAGAATGTAAACTTATATGTATGCATGCTCCACCCCATCAAATTTGTGATATCATCGAAATGCTCATTTATATTAATAGCAAGGGAGTTACAAGTCTCTTGTTTATTTCGCGGTAACCCTGCTTTCGCAATTTATACACTCCCATACTTTATTTTGTTGGGAAAAAAAAAAAAAAAAAAATTAACAAGAGACTGTATGCAAGTCTATTGGAGATGTTTTTCTAATAGAGTAAATACTAAAAGTTTGTCTTCTTCAACATGTTGAAATGTAGAGAAATAAAACAAACACACATCTACCATATTTGATTACACCACCAAATCAAAAATGTGAAAATTACACAATTGTACAAAAATGATTACCAATTGCAAGTCTTGTTGGCTTTTTCTTCGGTGGATCTTCTTTGGCTTCAGTTTTGGGTTTCTGCAAGCGTAACAAACATGAGGTATAAGCTACAATTTATGAAAAAAAATTTAAATGTCTTATTTCTGCATATCCATAAATAGAACAGATTTGCATGGTTTCTAATGTCCTAACAACATTTTCAAAAAATAAGATGGCTGCCAGTCGGCCAGTTTGAATCGAACCGCTAAACCACTGCATGTGCATATTTTCCCACATAAAGTACTAGGCACATGCAAAGAATGAACGGAATCGGTCCAAAGGATTCTGAAATATGACTCTGGACGGACGGAGAACGAATTATAAGTCCCCGTTTTCGAACTTCGTTTCTGCTTTAATATACATTTTGTAGACTTGCTGACTGTTAAGATTCTGATAAAAATCTTGAAACATAAATGTAAATTATGTAAACAGTGGTGCCCTGAAGGCAGAACGCAAAATTACCTATTTTGCTGTCACAGCTATTTAGTTTTCACTCCTCATTTTACCCAATTAACATTTATTTTTCATTTTTTTTTTTTATCAGAATCACAATAGATTGCAAGAAAGTCAACTGTTAATACGACGAACACAAAATAGATTTTTGTTATTTTTTTTACAAGTGTAGAAAAAGACACCCTGGGCGTATGCCTGGACATGGGGGTGGGCGTTTGCCTGATCATGGTAGCTTACCCGGACAACTACGGTACATGTAATCTGGAGGAATGTAGGAAATGCTAATGGAGAACAAAAATATAACTACAGGTATATAATATGTATCGTACATGTATGACAGTAATATCTGTAGTATATGTGGAATCTAAGAAATCCCTACAGGAAAACCTACAAATAACTGGTTTAATACTTACGAGTTTTTTAATAGTTTTTAAATGTAAATAAATAGAATTTCCAGTTTTGTTGAAGTGACGCAATACATGGTCTTTACCAAAGCCAAGGAAGGTTTTCATGCATATGTACAAACCATTCTCAGATTCCTGCAATGAAATAATCATCGTACATGTATTCAGTTATATTTAGTAGTGTAGTGTTTTGGAACTTTTTTTCTCGACATGGTTTGTACAATCAACTGTTTTCATGCAGTATTTTGATCCACACACTACGGTAACAACTTGGGGTCTTTTATTAATTCATGCACACATTTCGTTTTAATCAAAATATTCTATTAATTTGTCGTATTCAGAAAAAATGAATTAATTAAATTTATACATTTTTAATTCACACTTAATTTCCTTTTAGTATTTTTTTTCTAATTCTAGCATTTGATCAAATTTGTGTTGTTTAATTAGTTATGTAATGCCACATTTGAATTGTAATTTATGCAGCTCCTGTTTATTTATTCAAATAGTGAGCTCCTGATTCAAAAGGGTGGCAACAAATAAATAAATTAAAATAAACTTGTGTTGTAAAATGTGACATCCCTTGTCAATTGCGTAATTTTGAATTTCTGATTCTTCACATATTTGTTTGGGGGGCAAGAGTACCTCGGAGGCTAGTTTATTAATGTTCATTTTGGGAATAATTTGGATGCCACAGCATTATTTTTTAGCTGATTTGCGTTAGATGTCACATTAAAAATAATAACAACAAGTAATCAGAGATAATAGGTAAATAAATTGTGCGCCTGCTTCTTACTAGAGAGCACGGGCGAAATCACGCTCTTGCTTTAATTAATATTATTTTGTGCAAGGAAAATATCCTGTATCGTTCCACCCCATATACGTCCATGTATTGACTTCAGCAACCAACCACCCGAAAAGATCGACAGTCAACTGTGATGGTATTACCCATGCCTGGGACATGGAGACTGGCTATTACAATACAAATGAGATCAGATATAAATCAAAATCTTCTAAAACTTTCTCTGAGATCGCATAATATGAAGAAACTCACCGGACTGTCAAACGAGAAACAACACTCATCTTTGAAGATTTTCTCTCCACCCTGGGGTACTTTTATTGAATCCTGGAAAGCATGCAACACTTCGACGGCCGCCATGTTGGATTCAAAAATCTCGTTTGTTTCTGGGCGATTTTTCGCGAGAGAAGGGTGAGAGGTCATCTTTGACCAATCAAATAAGACGTACTAGTCGTAGTAAAATTTTCTAACCTTGATGCCAATTGGCCAGGGCGGCAAATTTAAAAAACACAAACAAGGTGGACAAAGCTGTTCAGACGTTGCAGTCGACTTTCCGATAAAGTAAGTGAGAATAGTGCTTATTGTTTTTGTTTGACAACTTTGGAATCAATTTGACGCTTTGCGATCATGATTATTCAGTGGCGACCCGCAGTTAAAATAGAATGACTAATTTATACTAGTAAATGGCGAGTGATCCAACCATCGAACGAAGGTTGCTCATTAACAGCTCCGATTGGCCTATGTAGAAACATAGCATGTACGTTTTCGGTAGCGGTAGCCGACCTACATTGTATCTTGTATTCGTTTATAGCCACATGTCCGTCCGTATTTTACTTACAATACAAACACGTACCTGTCGGTGGCTTGGAAGGAAACAATAACAATGTTCCCAACTTCTTGTTTCAGTTTGAGCACAGGCGCTCGGAACGTTTCTTGGCTAATAAAAGATGACCTAAAGTGAGATCGGCATAGTTAGTCAGTCGCCGGTAAATTCCCCCACTACTCATATAATAACACAAGGTAGGAAAGCGTTGACACCATGACATCGAAACTTCCCGAAAATAACACGATTTTCCAAATTA